CCGAGAATTCGGGGTCTAAAAGGCACAGTCCAAATGTAAAAGAAAAAAAAAACCAAACAAACATATATATAAAAAAAAAAAAGTGTTTACCCTACTTTATTTAACGGTGTTCTATTTCGGTTTAACCGCAAAAGCTGAAAGGAGGAGGAGTCAAGAGGTGACAGACAGCAGGGATACTGAAGGATTCTGGGAAGCTGGCCACCCTCCATTGCCTGAGAGATGCAGCGAATGTGATCAGGACACCTTGCTAGACCCTTGCCCGGTGTTCAACCTTTTATAGCAACATATGCACATATACACACACACACAAAGAAAACCAGGGCGGGGAACAACTGTGCTGCAGTCCAAGTCGTTCCATACGACGAGGCCATGTCTGCTCATTCTTATGAAGCGGTCCTTTTTTTTATACTGTTAGCTTTTATTAAATTCTAGAAATCAGGCAGTTAATGGTTATTGACTAGAATCATAAAACTCCATTCCCCCCTCCCCCCCAGACTATATAGGAAATGCAGTCTGCTACAGCTACGGTCCTTATCATGAACACAATCTCCTCAAAACATACAAAATTGACCCAATGTAGAAAAGCCTGCAGCAGGTCCGTGTGGGTGAGGCTGGAGTGAAGCTGAGGGCAGACCGGGGATGGTATAACTAGGCTACAGATAGTCAAAAGGGGGTCAGGTATGACCATGCTCTTGTACCAATACAGAATGCTCTGGGTAATAGCTGGAACATTACGGAGGTCTTGGTTGTGTGCCTCGTGTCACGCTTTTGCCTTTTCTCCTGGGTGGACCCTTTATTTTTCAGTCAAAGCATTCAGGACACCAATTCATGATACAGGGCAAGTACATTTATGTGTTGATGTACGACTACAATGTGTCCGAATGCCACATGACCCCCCCAGTATACCTAGCACATCTAGTGTCTTGAGTTGCATGACCAGTCATGGGGAAAGCCTAGAATCTCCCAAGTACTGGTGAACTTCAATGCAAAAAGTATAACAGCAACTGCCACCATCAAAAGAAAATACATAAATGCCGCCTGTAAAAGAAAACTTCATTATCTGTCCCGCTGCCAACTTTGCCAATCAAATATTATGCAGTATCTAATGCATTTCAAGGTGACAGAACTTGGGTCCCCATCAACCACCGAGTCCTATGTGAACATGGTGGCCAGCAGATGGAACCACAACATGCTGAAGGTGACTAGACACCTGCCACTTCCGGAAGTATTTTATGCCTGGAACCCCACCATTGTGCCAACTGCTCCATAACTACTTTGCCCTGTAGAGATGTGGTGGCTGACAGATGGTACAACAGCATGTTGCAGGTGACTAGGCACCCACCCCTTCCAGGGGTGCATGATGCCTGGTCCCACCATCTGCTTCATAACGACTGCATCCTGTAGTGACATGGCAGCCAGCAGATGGAACCACAGAATGCTGAAGGGAGCCAGACAACCAACACTTCCAGAAGCGCCTGGTGCTAGGTCCCAATCGTTCTGCTGACTGCTCCATAACTGCTGCGTCCGGTAGAGATGTAGTGGCTGGCAGATGGAACCACAGCATGTTGAGGGTGACCAAGTACCCACCACCTCCAGAAGTGTCCAATGCCTGCCCTCCCCATTCCACAGGTTGCGCAAAACTACCATGTCCTGTGGCGACACAGCATGCTAAGGTGACCAGACAGCGCGAAGTGTCCAATGCCTGGTCCCCACTATTCTCCTGACTGCTCCATAACTACTGCATCCTGAAGAGGCGTGGTTGGCAGATGGAACCACAGGGTGCTGAAGGTGACCAGGCACCCACAACATGAAGTGTCCAATGCCTTGCCCCTTCCCATTCTGCTGACTGCTCCATAACTACCGACACCTGTAACGGGCAGCAGAGATCAGGTTTTGGACACTCAAGACTTTTCGGCAACAATAGCTTTCAAGAACGAAGGTTGGTGGAGCAGGCAGCTGGACAGGAAGCTATTAAAGGTCTTTTACAAGGTGCATCTTTGCACAAATGGCAATGGAGTCACTTTACAAAGGGTTTACCATCTTTAACTTGGCGGGAATCCCATAACAGACCTCTTCATTTTATGTAGACTACCGAAGCCCAGCTCCTTGTTTACCAAGGGTAAGTTAAAGGAGCGGGACTGGAATTCTACTCTTCCCATTGGGGAGCATCCAGATTTTATAAAGAAATTTTTTTTTAGCAAGAGTGCAAAAAAAATTCCCAATTACTGGTCACAAGACAACAGGTAAAACCCTTGTTTGCCCACATGGTGCGCCAGCCCCGGCCACTCCCAACACACAAGTGGTCTAGCCCATACATTAGATTATCTACATCCCCCCCTTCTCAGGCAAGTACACAAGATCATACAGGAGTCATATGCTCTGCTACCATTTTATTTCAACTGAAGCCTGCTTCATATCCTGCAAATACATTTTTCTTTATTTTCAGGGTGCGTCATTCGATTTGCGTCTGAATAAGATATGCGTGGGAATTTAATGTTAAAAAAATCTATTCAGACTAATAAAAACAAAAAACGAAAATTTGTTTATACAAAAAAAAAAAAGTTTTACAGTATTTGTTTTGCTTTTCAAAAACACTTTATTTACAAAAAATATCAAAGTTAATTCTCTGTAGGTACAGAAGGAAAAAAAAAAATCAGTTTCAGAAAGCTGAACAAAATAAAAAAAAAAAAAGGTGCCAATAAAATTTAAAAATTTCACCTTTTTTATTTTCACAATATGTACAAAGTTGCTCGGGGGTCTGAATCTACAAAAAAAAAAATCTGCAAAAAATGGGATACAATTCAGCCGACCAAACTAACGAGCCGGGAAATGGCGAAGCAGCATCTAATAGGATTCCGCCGACGGAGGCCTTTGAATTATTTAGCTACCCGGCCGGCTCCCATCCCGGGACTCAGTTGCAGAAAGCGGCTTATAAAACAAGAATAATGAAACCGGTTGGCGGCGCAGAATTGAATACATATATTTACAGAGGCGTCAAAAGATAAAGCGCCGATAACACGGCGGCTCGTCTTCAGATCGTGTGCTTAAAAGATGTTTTTGGCCTCTTCTGGGACAAAATAAAAAAAGAACAGCAGGCCCCGCGCTATGGTCAAAATTAAAACTACAGCATCAAAACCGCACTGGACGTGGGGTGGAGGGGTCGGGTGTGTGGTGCTTTTTATATTCTATTTTAAGGCCTTTTTTTTCCTGGTCACACGAGACTGGACGTCTCACGGCCCCTTCTCCGGCAGACAGACAGCTGCCGCCTTAAAGCACACAAGCCCTTAATCTGCCTCGATACAAAAAAAAAAAAAAGGACCTCAGGATCCAACTCTGCATAGCATGTAAAAACCGGGCACAGGAGCTGCCCCAAAAAGGGAAGATGCACCGGAGGTGCCGGTAGTAGGAAAAGGGAAGATGAGAGGTACGCAGCAACCCCTTTATGCATGGCCTCGGTCACCTGCCCCGTCCGGAGCATTTTTGTTTTTTGAGATGCCACCAAAAGACCTGCAATGCCTGGTGGGGCTCCCAAGCTTGAAGTGGTCCAACGCCCTAAAAGAGCCGATGTGAACGCACCACATTGTAGTTGCCAGTCCCTTATGTAACCCTTCATGATCTCCCATTATAATGGAGCAAAAAATATAAAAATAAAAAGTCAGATGTGCAGCACATGTCCCAACTCGGCCCGTTGTGCTCAGGCAAGCATGTAGGAAACACTTCCACAACAGGATTTACAACAGGGTGTGTTTTAAGTGCAGAGGAGTGAACAAGCATGTGCATGTGCCCTCGGTGTAGCACTCCAAAAACCAAAATAGCATGAAAAAAAGAGCAAGTACAAATAAAAAGCAAGAGGGAGGAATAGGGGTGCCATGAATCTCTCGCCTGTCTTCACGGGGCCCTTCAAAAAGAGGGGACTTAACATAAAATGGGTTAAATGTGTGGTGGGTGATATTATCGAGGGAAGAAAGAAAAATAGGTACGGGTGTAAGGGGTGGGGAGGGGTATAATGCTGTGAAAGGAAGATAGGAACGTCTGCTTTTATGGAGCGTGGTAGACGTGGGAGATAGAGGAACACAGGACCACCTCTGGTTATATAGCCCGTGTCTATAAAAAGGCACAGACTGCACTATGTGAATGTTCAATGCATATTTGTGTGACAACCTGGTACGGGGGGTCAGGTGGGGGCTTAGTCGTTTGCATAAAGGGTTTCCATGTGTGAACCACATGTACATACATTTCACATTAGACTGCACTGAGCGACTTAAAGTGTATGTCCGGACAAAATCTCAGTAGATCTATACAATACGTGGATTACACAACCTCCTGCTCTTGAAGGATCTTTAAAGGAATACAGCATGAGGGTGTATGCATGTATTGCAGAGCGGTGATTTTTTTTTTTTCTCCCTATTCTGCCCAGACCTACACTTTAATATGGAGGATGCTTTCTGACTGCGCATGCCGAATAAACAATGGGCCGGTACATTCTTCTAAGGGTTCCAAAGTCCGGCAACCTAAACGAGCCATGAGCCAAGGAGGTCAGCGTTGGATGAACCCTTGTAGACTCTTTCAGGCTTGAGTAAGAGGGACAGGACGTCAGGCATATCTGCACTTTTGGTATTCCTTGCCCCGGCCTTACTGAACAGCCGCCCCCCCCACGCCATGTATCCAAAGGCTCTTGGGCAGCTGCCATGGAAGAAGTTGATGCAAACGCCAAAGCTTGCAGAACACAATATTCTGAACTTCTTAACTACTTGGTGTTCACAAGACATAGCCCATGGACAACCCGGCCTGTTTTACCAAACTAGCTTTCTGCCTGTTCGTGAATGAAGCCTATCCCTACACGTGGCCCTCTACCCCAGTTCCTTGGCAATGAATGTGCTCAGGACACAAGGTGAACCTCAATAGCAACGTTGGTCTAGGTCACCAAACACCAACCTCTAAGCCAAGGCCCAAATAGTGGTACACACCAACCTTCAAAAGGGTACACCCCCTGCATATTCTGCTTCTCAAATGGCTGAATTGTGAAACCACCGATGGCGATACTGGACAGAATCCTAGAAAACCACCTAAAACCCATTCCTGAGTATTGTCAGCAACTCCAGGACACGTTCAGTCTAGGAAACTACAAAAGGACTTTGTTGCTGGCCCTTAGTATTACTCCAACGCAGAGTCCAGTGTAGCTTCTGTGCAGGGTTAGGAGGTGGCAGCCAGGAACATATAGCTTGTGGTTCTCCACTCTCCAAACAGCTGATGGCCAAGACACCTTTAGCTTCATCACATTATAACCAACGGGCAGCACGTGGTGAGACGCAGCCTAATGGAAGGAGTGTGCAATTAAGTGCATATGCATACACAGGTAGTATGTGTGGCGTGTGCAGGTGCAGGAGTGGTTGGAGTTGTTGCTCGCTCTATGGCTCTGGCTGAAGATGGGGTGGGCACGGTCGACCTTCGCTCTACCCAGAAGATACTCGAGGCGGGGTCCATGTGTCAAAGTCCAGGCAAGCACGCCACTTTCAGCACAAGCCTAGGTCAAGAGGGTACAGTGCACATGAAACCAGTGAACCAAACCCAATGGGTTGCCAAGCTTCTTCCCACCCCTCTTCATACGTGGTACAGCTCACCGGTCTGCCGTACAATTGAACAAATTCACAATCTATACTACCTGCATTGTCAAGCCCCCTCCCCCACAAGACACATTGTGGTAGACAGAATCCATACTGCCTCTCCTAGGTCAAGTAAGGGTTAACTGCCACAGGTGTGCAAAGTGCAGACAGGAGCAGATCCAATCCGCCCTCCCCCCGGACAAAAAAAGGGAGCAGAACAATATGGGGGAGGGGGGGGCAAACTATATTTAAAAAAATACCTAACATAGGGATAATGTAAGTCTTATTGCTCCGTCTCCCAGAGTCCCTTATGCAGAGTGACCTTTGGCCTGTGCTCCTGGCGCCGGATTGACCATCCCACGGTTCGGGGAGCAAGGTTGAGTCACCCGTCCTCCCTTCTCAGACCTTGTAGTAAATGTTTGCAGGGCTTTGAGGAGGCATTTCCTGAACAATGTACACCGGGTGTCCGTAGTCCCCGCTCACCTTCTCATAGTGCGGGCAGTAATTGTTCTCTGTAGTCCGCAGCGGGATGATGATGTCGCTGGGCTCGGTGCCCGCGTTCCCGCTGCACTTGGGACTGGCCAACGTGCTGAGCGACAGGGCGTTTGCCCGCTGCTGCGTGTGCTTGCGGTGGCGTTTGCGGATCTTGATGAGCAGAACGATCAGGAAGATGATGATGAGGATGAAGATGACGCATCCGGCCCCGATGGCAGCGAACACAGCGATCTTTGAGCTGAAGAAGCCTTCGACCCCTCCCCCGGAGGGATTATCTGACTGATTCACAGTATCTGCAACCAAAAGACAATTACATTTAACGATAGGTTTTTGGTGAAGTCTATATAAAGCCAAAAAAATTCCCCCCAGCCCCCCCCCCCCTCAAAAGGGACAGGATGACCCCCATCAGGTTACTTTGTGGCCTTTGTGTGTCTAAATCAGGAAGTGAAGGGGAGCCTGTTCAGTAGGACAATGGGAATACCCCACTTCGACAGTTGTAGCCGAACCGGTATCCCCAAGACGTTGGACCTTTGTTTGTCCATTTAGAACTACAGGTCATGCAAGACTCCCCCTGTCCACAAGGTGACAACACTGCTGCATGATCTCACTGCAGAACAGACCACATTGTATTAACGCTGGTGACAGATGGCATCAAATGTAATATTTTATTGTGCCCAAAGTTCCTCTAAGTGAAAGCAGACAACATTCCAGTCATTGAGCTGCTGAAGCAAGTCTTACCTGGCTTGCCAGGGTCTCCTCCTGCCACCACATCGTTCCATGGGCCGGGTGTCGCCTGCTTTCCACCATCAACTCTAGGCCGGCTTGTAGAGACTAGCTCTGGCGATACTGCGTTGGGGTCTAGACAAGGGGAAAATTACTTTAGACCATCACAAACCCTCAACGTGATTGGATCTCAAGACACGGACAACCGTTGTCTACTTGGTACATGAATTCACTTTTTCAATTTTAAGAACCCCCCCAGCACCACACCCATCAATCAAGTATCTCCGCTCAGGAAGACCCCACTTAAGGAATTTCCAAGCATACATTGTGATGGGAAAAAGCCAAGCTGTTCAGAAGCTCTTGCAGCCTTTGAGATGTTACTTTGAAGGAACACATATGGGGTACACTGCTCCCAGGCCCCAAATTTGGGTGACCCTCAAGGAAGATTAGGAGCTGGGGCTAATCCTATGCCTCACAGACTGCACAAACCCTAAAGAGAAGACCTCTATGATGAAGCCCAAGCCTTGTGGGCGAAGGCCAAGCCTTGTGGATAAAACTAAGAGCATCTAACCAAACTTGGAACTGCCAACTGAACCTTCCCGTCTTGGCCAAATCTCAGGCTGTTCATGCACAGCCTCTGCATTAAGACATTGGTCACCCCCCCCCCCCCCCCACACCAACTGATTGGCCAACCAGGCTGCCACTAGTGTCAGAGCTTTGGCCAGAAGAATAGCCGAGCAATGGGCTGCCACAGGGAAATATAGGAGACTGCATGTGACCCTTTGCCCCCCCACAACAGGGTTTGTTTAACGTGACCTTGTACTAGGACTGTCTTTGAAGGAGCCTTCCTATGCATGCTGTACTCACACGCCACCAGCCAGATCTCCATGCAGAGTCGCCGAAATAGGCCAAGTTTCAACTTCCCAAATGTCCACAGAACTACTCTGTGCACAATGGGACAGCACTTGAACATGGTGGACTGCTGCTTAGGCACACAGTTCTACATTATGGGGAGGCTCTTGTTACCCCCATTGCTGGGCATTTCTTGGGACCTTTTGCCCCCCAGGGAGGAAAGCTCTCCTTTTACTTTGCCTAACATTGGCTTTAATGTGTCCTAACTTCACAAATTGGAGCGGGATGAAGTTCAGATCACATGGAATCAAGTGAACTTTGCATATAAATTAAAGCTCTGCCTTCCATCCATAGGTGAGGGGTGACATTGTTGGGCCTTCCCTAGGGACTTCACATAAGATCAGAGCTCCTCGGTGTTCCCAGGATCTCACATTGGAGGCAGTGATGTCACTGAACACCTAGGCAAGTGCTCATAATGGTCCCCTATGAACCTAAATGGGAACTAGTTTAAAATGTTACAGTTCTGCATTTGTTCCAACATAGGAAAAAAAAATAAAAAAACTATTAAAGAGCTGCAATCAGATCACGCACCTTGCCCAACCTTCATGACTATTTTCATGAATCGTGTCTGGCACACTCCTCCTTCCCGGTTCTCCAGGCCCGCTAGTGTTCCATTGGATGTCGCTGTAATAAAACAAAAAGAACATGAAGCAAAAAAAAAAAAAGGGTAACAGATCGCATCTTTCATTACAACAACATTTAAAGCTAAAGTTTAATCTGCTTATAATTGTATTTTCCTGGTCTGACGTAATGGCTCATGAGCTCTCGGCCCTGATGCAAGCAGTGGGTTGGCTGTTGAGTTATGCAAATATCAAAAAGCCTTGATGGGTGGAGGCCAGTCTGGAGGAGTGGGCGTTTCAGAATAATTCCTGGTGATCCCGCCATGGAAGTCCTTGTTCAGGCTCTTCCTGTTCTAAGGTGACAAAGCTCTGTCCATGTCTCCAAAACGCTGCATTGTCACCCAGTCACATGAACCTGCAATGGTGACTACAAGTGGCAGTTTCATCAAACATTACACAGACAAGGCCCACTGTTATCAATAACCCCGCCCCCTAAGAAATACCATGCAGCCATCTCTGGGGTGCATGTAGACCAGAAAGTGGCTACATAGAGGCTGCAGGAGTTTAGGAGCCCTGAGACGGCACAAAGGACGAAAAAAACCCATGAAAACAAGGATTTGATCTAAAAGTGACAACAGTTTACGATACACAGCGTACAGAGCAAGCTAAACGTCATTCAGGACGGGTTTACATCTACTTTAACACGCGTTACTTGCGTCGCTCAATCACGCCGCCACTTTTTTGGGGGGCTGTAAACGCCAAGCTGACTTGTATTTAATACAATAATCTGCATCAGAGAACGCAGCCAAAAGTGAAAGATGAATGACTCCACCAGCAATTATGATTATCTGACAGACTCCAATACAGATGTTGGGGCTTGTCATTGGATTAGGAGGAGGAAGGAGAAATGAGACCATCCCTCGGTGCCTGCGGGCCTGGGAAGAGCACAGACTTTTCTAATAGCGAGAAGAACATGCTCGCTCACATCAAAAAGGTATATGAAAGCGAAGCGTCTAAGCCAACCCGACAATAAAGCCAGCCGTTTATCCCGTGGTAGACTGCGTTCCGCGTGTTTTATGGCCATTCACAGCCAAGTCGAGAAGAATCGTTATCAGAGAAGATTTTATTGGGTTTTGAAGGCCTTGAGCACATGAGGTTTTTGGAATGGGGGGGG